AACCACAGGTCATGTCAGTTGAGCGATGCCAGGTGCTCCGGGGCCTGCTCACTGTGTTGATTTCCCCAGAAGTCAGTGCGGTGGGGTCATGCTGTGAGCCTGGATCCATGAGCCACTCGGCAGCACTGAGCTGAGCATGCTACAGAACGGTAGCATCAAATCCTCACTGCTACATGGGGGGGGGGGGTCTGATCCTCATTTACAGACGAGGCTTCGGAGGCCCTGAGCGGCGAGGTGGAGGACCCATGGTTACCCAGCTAGTGACTGGCCAACCGCACTCGAAACTCAGAGCTGTCTCACTCCCTCAGGCCATCTCATGCCCAACCCACCCACCACATTTTTGCAGCAAGACAGGATGAACATGAGTGTGACGCTCAGCAGTGTGGGTCTCTGGATGGCAGGGGCTGTGCCTGACCCACGTCTGTGTCCCCTGTAGCTGCGAATCCGGGGCCCCACATACAGCAGGTGCTTGGTCAGGCCCGGGGTGGGCTCCTAAGGGGTGGGGCAGGGCTAGCTGGTCGTCTACCCCAAAACTTGCTCTCCTCGCCTTCCTGATTAACAGAACTCCTATTTTTAGCAGAGGACTCCTTTTTTTGATTCTTCCTCCACCCCGCTACAACACAGACATGATGGCTAAAGCTGTACCAGCCAGCCTGGCCCACGAGGACAAGGGCTGCTCCCTAGGGAGGGCGACACGGGCCACTGCAAGGAGCCTAGCAACCTCATGACTTCGGGAAGCCTCCATGCCACCAGGAATGCCTACCTCTGGACTTCCATTTGGATGAGAAATAAAGCTCAGTCTTGCATAAGCCACCACAATTTGGGGTTTCCATGGCATATTCTATCAAACCTGATAGAGCAAGGAAGGCTGGTGGAAAAGCTCAGTCTCGACGTAAGTTTTAGAAGTGTAGGATTCCTCTTGACAAACAGAATGAGGCAACAGATGGCTCAGAAGCAGAGCAAGCAAAACCCCATGAGAGGGGACAGCTTGGGATGACAAGTGAGCTGGAGTCAGGAGGTCCTGAGTGGAAGTGGTATCATAAAAACAGCATTTCTGCAAGACGAATGTAGCAGCCTTTCCCAGGCCAGCAGAACCAGGAAAGCCTGGAGGACAGAGAGCAGTGCAGCCAAATGCTTCCTGAATGCCCACTGTTTGCCAGGCACTGCACTCCCAGCGAAGGCTACACAGACAGGATGGCTGAACTGGGTCTGAAAGGTCGGCAGGAGAGCCCCCGGCGCTCCTGTGTCCCCTTAGGGCAGTGAACTCCCCCGCCTGCCTCTGCAGCTCCATACAAATTCAGTTTCCCAGGTCCCACAGGCGGGGGCGGGGCCCAAGATTCTGAACTTTTAATAAGCGTACCCGCATGATTCTGATGCAGTCAGACCATGGACCTATTTATACAGGCTGGCAGCTCCTAACCTGATGCATGGAACACAGCAGGTTTGAATGGTTATTAAATACGTGAATAATAGACTTCCATACTGTTAAGAGACAAACCAGTATCAAAAGATTTTCAATAATAATGGAAACAAGATTTTTCTGGTGAAGTGAATGGTTTTTTAGCTAATATTTAATTAGCCAAAATATAATCTGAGGTCACTAATAATGTTCTGTGATCTACTTCTGCAACCCGTTCAGCTAAAAGGTATTTCAGTTTCACTTGAAAATGACCTTACAAGAGACCTCTGGGTGTGAGCACAGTTCCCACGCCGGCTCACCGGAGCTCTGCTCTGCAGCTTACAGACGTGGTGGAGCCCAAGGACCCACACTGAGGGAGGAGGTTGTCTCCAGACAGGTGGCTGGGCAAGGAGCTGCCTTCCTCGCCCCAAGCTGTCCTCACACACTTCAAGGCAACTCTTCTCCTGGGAGTCAACTGTCCTTATTACCTGACCTTCCAAGACAGAAGTGCTCTTTAAAGAAGAAACATGGTACATGATGATTTCACTCATATGTGGAATTTAAGAAACAAAACAGATGAACATAGGAGAAGGGAAAGAACAGTAAAATAAGATAAAAATAGAAGGGGAGGCAAATCATAGGAGACTTAACTATAGAGAACAAACTGAGGGTTGCTGGAGGGGAGGTGGGTGGGGCATGGAGTAATTGGGGAATGAGCAACACTGGGTGTTATATGTAATGAATCCCCAAATCCTACTCCTGAAACCAATACTACACTATATGTTAACTAACTTGAATTTAAATAAAATATCAGAAGAAAAACAAAGAAGAAACAGGGTAGAAAGGGAAAAACACTGACCTAGGACATGGGTCTAGTCCTAGCCAGGTCAGTAACTCCCCAAGCGGCCTTGGGCAAGTCTCTTCACCCATTGTGCTATATGCTCTTGAAGGTCCCTTCCAGCCCTGATGCAACCAGGATGAGAATTTCTACAGTTTCCTTCTTCCTAATTAATACTGAAAGATTAATTTTTTGTATAAAATGCACTCCCGTATGAAAGGCATGATGTTCAGTGCTGGGGATACAACATTTAAGAGAAGACAGGGTCCATGCCCTTTGTCTACCTTGTCTTGAAAGGTAGACAAATATTTCATTCAATAATTATATAATTACAACAGTGATAAATGTTACTTGGTGCTATGGGAGTGTGTAATGGGCTCTCAGGAAAGGTTTGCCAAGGAAACAACACTGACACTGAGACCTGAGAGCAGAGCTAAGGATGGGGGTTGGGGTAAGGAGCCACTCCAGGCAGAGGGAGAAGCATGTGTGAAGTGATGCCAGAAAAAGCATTCCTTTCAGGAATATTCCAAACCTGAGGGAGAATCAAATGACCAATAAAATGAAGCCAACCTTTTAGGGCCATATATTTAAAGAAAAAAAGAGCACCTTTTATTCAAAAACAGAGAACAGACTCAAAATCTGACCTCGAAACGAACAGGAACGTTTTATGCCGAAACTGATAAACTCTTCTCTGACCACAGCCGTCCAGCTCCAAAGCCCCCTGACCCTCATTTGCCACGCCTCAGCACAGATGCTGTCAATGTCCTCAGGTCGTCCACAGCTGCTTCCGGGCCTGGGTGACCTCTGGCTGTCCGACCAGGCACAGCAGAGGGAGGGAGCATGAAACACAGGCACCGCGATGGGGACCTGGCCCTGAGGCCAAGATAGCTGGTGCTGACTATGTGCCGGGCATCACGCACCGGCATGAGAGGTAAGACCCGATATGTTCGTAGCACCAGGGGGCACCAGGGAGGAGGAGGGAGAGGAAGACGTGCCTTTCAGATGGGGTTTCCCTGGAAGGCTCCAAAGAGGGGACGGAATCTGCAGATGGCCAAGACCTGGAGATGGAGAGAGAAAGAGTATCCTGACAGCAGCTAGAAAGCCCCGAGCACACAAGAAGTTGTGGCTGAAGCTTGAGAGAAAGAGATGGGTAGAGATCTGGCCCGAGTTGCTACCTCTGACTCCATGAAGGGAAAAAATGACAATGCTGGTCTTCAGGGTAGAGATCCAGTCAAATCCCAGCTCTGCCCAGAATGGCCCTTTGATCAAGGGCCCTTGGTTTTCTCCCTTGGACCAGTACAGAGTTTCTCAAGCATTAGAGTCCTAGGGATCACCCAGGACAGGCTGCCAGGTCTCACCCTGAGATTCCAGTTAGGTAAACTGGGATGGGCCCCAGGCTGAAAAACCCCAGGTCAGACAGTGGGTCAAGGACCTGGATTCTTGGCCTCCTACAGCATGAAGTCCAGGCCCCGGGGCCCTTCCCTGACTATGGTGTGTGCTCCAGACAGGCTTACTTGTTCTGGGCAGGGGACAGACCTTGTGTGCTATGGGGAGAAGCGGGAATGGAAAGCGGTGGAAGGCTGGGCATGGACTATCCCCAAGTCTAGGGACATTCCAGGGAAGGTGAAAGCTAAGTAAAGAGTGGCCAAGGGCCCAGGAGGGAAGGAAGGACATCCTAGGCAGAGAGTACATCTTGTGTAAAGGCACATTCAGCACAATCAAGATCTAAGGTGCACATAGGAGGACAAGAAGCAAGGCTGGAGAGGAGGGCCAGGCCCACAACACAGCCCTCCTAGAAGTTGGGACTTGAGCTGCCACAGATCCCTGAACTCTGCAGGATCCTGGCAGCAGCTCCCCTTGTCACTCACTGGGCACAAACACATGGGACAGTACTCTTATCTCACTACCCCTTCCCCCACCATCAGTCTCCATCCTTTAAGATCACCTACTAATCCTATCCAAAAATCAGACCTTGGATCCCCTCTGTGCAACTATTAGGTCAAAATGAGGCTAGCAACTTGACTGAAACAATTAACACTAAGCCAGGAACCTAACCTCTGACAAGCAGAGCCAAGAGATCACGGGAGATGATGGAGAGAGATAGGAGCTGAGCTGCCACGGAGGCAGGTTGGTCCAGCCTGGGACAAGGTGTCTAGCTCTGCTGTGCTCTCCCCAGATCTTATCTGTACCTCTTAGAGCTTTCCCTTCCTCCCTCGGAGGAACCGGTGGCTTCTCTAAATGGGTTCATGACCCTTGAGAGTGGGGAAGAAGCCACAGAAAGGGGATGAGGTGGTTCACACTGTCTGGGTTTGGGCTTAGCCAGTTCTGACTGAAATATGAGAGATGTCACTGCAACTTCGATTCACGCGACCTAAGACCCTGTCCAGCAGACCCTGAACAGAACGACTACTGCCCTCAAACGATCTGTTCCAACCTCAAAAGTCAAAGACTGGGGAGAATAAAAAGCACGGACTGCGAAGGCAGTGCTGGATCCTGCAAGGCCAGCAGAGAGGGGGCGAGCCAATTCTCGGGGGAGAGGGGTGGGCAACGGGTCAGGGTAGTCAGTCGACACCCGGCAGCACTCCTGCACCCGCTGAGTGCTTCTGGCTCCTGGACACGCCCCCCCCCCCGACGCTGCCTCCAGCATAGGGCGAAGGCAGGTTTCGGGCAAAGCTGGGGCAATGTTGGAGGGAGGGGGGCGGGGAGCGACAAACGTATGGGGTGGGCCATCCGCCGGGAACCCCCAGCCGCAGTCCCGCTCACCTTGCACTTGAAGCCGGCGGCTGGCGGCAAAAGCTCTCGCAGCAGGGCCTTGGCCACCTCGCGGCTGGCCTCCTCGCTCACGAAGTGCAGGTTAAGCACCTCGTGCGCCTCGAACTTAGCGAGGCGCAGCAGGGAGCTGAGCGCGACGCGGGCCTTGGCCTGCAGCGCGGCGTTGTGTTCCGCCTTGGTGAACATCATCAGCAGGTGGTAGTCCACCGGCCCGGGCCCGCCGCCCTCCAGGCTCTTGGCCTTTGCGCCCGGGGCCGGCGCCACGGAACCCCGCGCCACCTCTGGCACTGGCGGCGAGGGCACGGCGGGGACCCCGGCGCGGGCCTCCTTCAGCCTCTTGGTGGCGCTGGAGAAGGTCTCCCGGCCCGAGCCGAGGTAGTAGAAAGCACAGACGGCCAGCGCCGCGGCCAGCAGCAGCGCGCAGTAGTGGGAGCGCACAGCGCCCAGGCGCGCCATGGCCCGAGCACATGAGGGCCCGCCTCGCCGACCCATGCACCACGGACCCGCGGACAGAGCAGCCGAGGAGCGGCAGCGGAGACCAGCACCCTGGCAGCCACTTAGTAGCCCAGGCGGCGGGCAGCGGCCATGGCGGGGGCGGGGCCGCGCTGCCCGGAGCCAATCCGCGGGCGCTGATGCGCGGAGAGGCTGGACCAGGGCTGCCCGGCAGCCGCTGGGTCCTAGATTTAGAGGGATTCGAGACGGGAAGTAGCCAGCGGCGGGTGAGGAGGACTCAGACTTCGAGAAAGCCAGCGCGGCCGTAAGGTCTGTCAAAACTGGCCGTCCTAAATGCCCAGCCCCAGACGCTAGAAATCGAAGCTGAGCCTTGAAAGGTATAGAGGCGCCCCAACGCAGGATCTTCGGTTAGCAAAAACACTAAACTGGACGCACAAAACGGGAAAAATGTTATCTCTATACCTTTCTCCCCCAAATGTTTGGAAGCTTGAAGTCCTCTCCCCGCCGACTCCCTTCACACCTGGGAGAACTAGCTGAGGCTAGGGAATTTAAACTAACAAGCTCCTTCCTCATTAACGGTAAATGAAGGTGGAAATGGCCTGCCCAGCCCACTGGCACCTGAGGCCACGTAAAGGATGTGGCCAGCAGGGGGACCCCGCTGCCCACGACTTTGGGATAGTTTCCAGAGCCCCAGGGGAGTAACGCCCGGAGACTCTTGTTTCTTTTTTTTAACAGACTAAAACTTTAAAAGAGCCTTAACATGTACCAAGTCGTTTTTCAAAATTTTAACTGAGGCACACTGAGGTAACTTGCCCAAGATCACACAGTTGCGGTTTTGACCTTAGACAGCTGGACACTTGACAACTACATAAAAACTCATTAACTTCAGTCTACGGACTGATGACAATACTATAGCTTTTAAATATGATCTGCATACATGTACAAATGATCTGCATGCTTGAAGGACGCGGAGGTGAAAATGCATGGGCAAATGCACATACGAGTTATCACTCAGCAGTTTATTGTGCCATGCCCTTATTGGTCAAAGTGACTGGTACCCAGAACCACAATTCATCTCATTTTTAACTCTTTTCAATTGGACTAACAAGTTTTCTGAAAAAACATTGGACCTCTGAAGTGGGCTGAGCAACAAGATCAATACATACTAATTACCTTGGGGGGATGAGGGTAACCCAATAGCTCAATTAACTCACTTGACAGGCTCTTACTTTAATTCACTTAAACCTCACAACCCTAAGAAGTAGAGTTATTATTTGCACTTAACAATTGAGGAAACAGATTTAGAGCAGTATATTGCCCAAACCTAGTTGGCTAGTAATACAGCGAGATCTCAACCCAAGTCTTCCTGCTTCCAATGCCCAAGCTTTTAGCCAAGATTCGCATTGAAAGCAGTGTTTTGAGCCCTGAGTTGTGTGTATTTAACCACAACCTTCAGCAGACACTGGTTACAAGAGCAAGCTCTCCCAAGTTAATCTAGCACTACAAATTATTAGACTTCAGACAGGTTCCTTAATCTGAGCTGCAATTACACCCATTTGGAAAACAGGGCTAATACTAGTACATAAGCCTCATAGAATTATACGACAATACATAAAAAGCAGTTAGAACTGTGCCTAACACTTAGCAAACAATATAAACTATGCTAGAAACACCAAATTCTATAAGGCTAAATATCCAACAAGTACCAAATTATAGCAACCATAGCTTTTCTAGGGTAATTACAAATATCAAACTACAAATCTCCATTAAGACTTTATTATATGCTCCACAGAATCCCCACAGCAGTGTGCTACAGCTATATTATTACATTCTAATTGTTCACTAATAAGAGAAAAATAATTCTGGAATTGTGCCCTTCATCTTCACCATCAATAAGGTGGTTTTTCCTTCTGCCACTTATTCTAGAATTTATTCCATTATTTTATTTTTCAGACCTTTACAAGATCACTACTCCTGGCATTTATGGATAAAAAATGAATTAACAAGATAATTTTAAATTTTACATAGAAAGGAAAATACTCGAGACTCTCTCCATGTTTTCTTCATTCCCAATTCTTTGACCATTAAGATAAATTAATGTCGCAGCTTCCTGAAATATACAGCTCGCTGGAAACTGAAATAGGAGTTGAATGAAGGTGGCTAGTCATTTACTCAATAGATAACATAGTGACTACTGCATATCAAGCACAGTAGGTGCCTGAGGATTACAGCAGTGGAAAAAAAAACAAAAACAAATCTCTGCCCTCATACAGCTTATATTCTAGCAAGAAAAGGTATGTAGTATGTCAGATGGTGACAGGTTTCCTCAGCTCAAAATAGAGATAGCTGGGTGTATAATAACATGGCTAAATAGACAAAGAACTTTGGTAAGCACAATAACTCTTTCAGTTCTAACTTTGGTCAGTTTCTCAGACTTCTGACCAGGGATTAGAGGTAATTGGCTTTTCCATCTGTAATGTTGGATAATCAGATTTTTATCATATTGACTAATACCCAATATTGTCAAGGACAGAGAGAGACACTTTCCTCTACAGCAGATGGAGGGAGGGTACTTTTCTGGAGGGCATTCTGGCAATACTAAAATCTTTCTGGCCCCTAAGAGAACTCTCAATTCTCTCCCATCCTGATGAATGTTCTCCCCAAGGCAGTGGTTCTCAGATTTTGGTTGGCATTGGAAGCACCTGGGGAGCTTGGTAAAAACAGAGAATCAGGTTCATCTTCAATGAGCCTGGGCCTCAATAGTGAATCTTTTACAGACCAAAGTTCCTAAAGCACTGCCTTAGATCTTCACACAGCCAATCTCTCCTTCTGCGTCAAACCTTGACTTAGATGTCACTGCCCTGATGAGTGGTCTCTGAACACCAAGCCATCCAGTGTCCAGGCACTATCCTCCAACAATCCCATGAGGGCCACCTATAAACTATTCAGTCCCATCTTTCTCCATTGCAAGAAGGCAAGATCTCACGAAAAATAGGAAGTACATCTTTTTTCTTTTTTACCATAATATCCCCAATACCTGACTCATTGAAATGAGCCTCAAACATATATCCACCCATTGTGCATCAGTATTTTTACTTCTAGGAATTCATCCTGAGGAAATAATTAAGAATGTATGCAACTGTTTAGCCATAAGGATAAAGCAGAGCTAGTTTTATGATGGCAAGAATTTAGAATCAAACGTTCACCAATAAAGTGGTTAAACAAAAATAATGATGCTGTCATTAAAAGTGATGTATTCACAAACTGCAAGTGGAAACATTTCCAAATAAATGGAGGAAGAACTTAGAGCGACTCAAGAGACCTATTAGCCAACTGCAATGAATGGAACTTCTATGAATTCTAATTTGAAGAATCTATTTTTAAAAAGCACATTTGATATAATCGGGACAATCTGAATACTGAATAGTTTCTCCTTCTTGCAATGGAGCAAGATGGGAAATGAGATATTGTGATTGTTTTTCTTTTAGGGATACATACTGAAAGATTTGTTAGTGAAATGTCTGAGATTTGATACAAAATAAAATCTGGGAAAGAGAAAAAACTGGGTGGGAGTATTGACAAAACAATGTTAGCCATGAGCTACCAGCTATTGAAATTATTCTATTTTATGTTTGAAATTTTCCATAATAAAGACTTTTTAAAATCCTCCCCAAAGTGATGTACACTGAAGGACTTAGAAATCTGTTCCCCATTTATTAAGTGAAAGAAACAGATAACAAAACAGTATGATCCCATTGTATATCAACCAAAATACACACACCCAAAGTTCTAGAAAGATATATACCGAGAGAGTAAGTTTCCCCCTCAATACTATTTGACAAAATTTCCTACAATGATGGACATGTTCTTCAATCTGTCCTGTTCAAAAAGTAGTCACTAGGCACATGTGGCTGAGCTCTTAAAATGTAGCAGTGTGACAGAATTCAACTGTTAATTTTGTCTAATTTTAATTAATTTCAATAGCTACATGTGGCTAGTAGAGACCATATTGGGAGCACAGGCAGATGATGGAATTATGGATGATTATCTTTTTTACTTGTTGTTAAACATTTTTCTACAATGAAAAAGCATTGTTTTGCAATAGGAAAAAGTTGGTTGTCGTTTTCATTTAAAAAATTTACTATTGGTGTGAGTTCTCTTCTTCACAGAACTATTCCGAAAATGAAATGAAGTGGAATAAAGCAAGTCACATAGAAAAGTTTTATGTGTCTGCTTTTAATTAACTTAAAAGGCAAAAAAAAGCTGGTGATTCACTTCCAGGTCTGTTCTTTCAACCCTCCATTCCTTAGATCTCAATTCACATAGAAACATGTTTTTGTTTATTTACTAAAAGGATTGAGTGTGAACGTGTTGCCTAGATGGGGAACTTCAACAGATGTCAATTATGGAAAATAATTAGGGCTAGCCCCCATTCCCACAAAAAAAGAATAAAAAAAGCCTTTGTCATTTTTAGCTAATAAATGCATACAGCTCTGTGATCAGGAAGAAAATACTTAAAAGATGAAAATGGATTTCCTGATTGAAGTAATCAGCAAAGAGGATCAACTGGATCAATGTGACAGAGCTGGAAAGGAATAGAAGACCTTAAACATGACAGTTCTTAACAGACATGTCTGCAGTTGTAGTTCACAATAAAGTGCAAGTCTGAGCATAAGAGAACTATGCCAGAGGTGAGATTTTTATTGACTTATCATAATTTTTCAGCATACAAAGTATTTAATCAAGTATATTTACAATTCTTACATAATGTACATTTTAGAATAACTATAATGATAATGTACTTTTCTCCATTTACAATGACAAACTACAGTAAAACTACATTCATGAATTAGATACAAATCCTCTACATACTAATAAAAAGTAAATGGAGTGTTGGTTATACATTCTTTAAAATATGCCTTTTCACAGGTAGCAAGAAATATTACATGTAATAAGTCTTTATGACTGGAATGATCCAGAAATATCACAAAGCACAAGTAAACACATATAGAAAAGTAGCTCATCATCTCCAAAAGTTAACCTTTAGCCTTTGTGTAAAATAAATGGTGCCAGCAATCTTTATAATGTAAGCAAGCTTTCCCTGTTTAAAATTAACACCCAAGGCAGG